GCCCCAGGAGAACCAATGTGTATCTATTGCTTCCAAAGCCCTCCAGTGTCCCTGAGCCTGGAAACTGTCCCCCATTGCTGAAACCCGCCTAGCCTCACGTGTGAACATCTGCTTGGAAGAATCTCATCCGCATACAAAACCCTGGCTCTAGTAAGTGAGGTTTTCAGTTTTCTAGCATCTGTTATACCAGAGGCCTCACTAGAAGGAATCAGGAATGGCAATGGAGTCAGTGAGAAATCTGCTGCACTAAAGAAGTTTCGTGATGGCTAGAACTCGTACAATCCCAGGTCTAGAAGGCCTTCAACCATGGTAGCTTTCTTTGCTGTACAGGAGTACCCACTCCCCATCACACCGAGAATGATTACCCAATAACCCAAGGGGGTACAGATACTTATATCCCCTTCTTCATAGGGGAAGGGAAAACGGGGGAAATGTGTCAATTTGAGGGATAATAAATGATTTTTAGGGGAAATAAATGGGCCTAATGCTCAGACAATTGTTAGTAGATAATTTTTTATTTGGAAATTATTTGGAAATCGAATGGGACAGAGAGAAAAAATGCTTTAGAATTCTTCCTCTGTGATATGAGTTTTAATCTTTTCTGGTTAATAAAATTTCAAGGAAGGCAATTGTGTTCCTCTTTGGTAGATCCACTTTCTAGAGAGATAAGGGAACTTTAGAGAACAGCTTCATCCTGTGCTGCTTTGGGAAGGACAGAGGGCTGAGACATGGGGAAAAAGTTAGACCTTGAGCTGCTTCTGGAGATCAGCAATATTTTGGGGGTGAAATAGTGATTTTTTTAGTCTCGGATTTGAAACTTTATTTTCAAAAGGTTTCACATATCAAAGTAGGATTGGTAGCTACAGAAAGATAAATTGGGTTAGTAATCTAGTGGCAAGAGATCTGTAAAGGGAGAAAAGAACGTAGATTATGATGAGAATGAATACATAAAGAAGGAACAAACCTAAGCGTGTTAAAAAAATCCAATTAAACTAGCCTCTTAATTCTGGAAATTGACCAGTCCAATTAAACATTGTGTTTCATTTTAAAAGATGGCATTGCAAATAGGTTCTCAGGGCTAGGCCTCTATATATGACGTAGGCAAACAGATCTTTAATAAGAGGTCTTTTACGGAAACAGAAACAAAAAACAAAGGTTAATGGGTGAAATAATTTATAAACTCGTTTCTCTAGAGTCTGGAGGGCAGTCAGTTGAGAAGATTAGTGGCAATCTGACCTATTTTTGTAGTCTGTATTTTGCGTGTAGAAAATTTGTCCAAATATGAGCTGTTGCAATATTTCTTCAAAGCCGAGTTGACTAGCTTTAGCCTCAGGAAAAAGGCAGTTTTAGTTTCTAATAATTCCAAGTCAGAAGGATGGAAGAAAAATTGGAAACATTAGTCTGGAGTGTCTCAGCCAGATATTGGAGGAAAATAAGAATGTGATTCAGTCCAGCTATAAAGCTCAGAAACAAGTGGACAGGGCTAAAATCTAATAACAGACATATGTGGGTTTTTTTCAGTGACATAATTTTTTTCTCTTCAATCCTCCCATTTCTACCAAAGAAAATCATAATTAGACTGTTTTGTTTTAAGTTTAATCTTTGATCTGATGATTTACAAAAGTTTAGTAAGAATGATGAATAACCATATAGGCTTCTTCTAAGTTGGCTTTGCTGAAATATTTTCATAAAGAATCTCAGATTAGACTTTTTAAAAAGCCTGTTGGCTTCCTAGCTATGCTAGGAAGTCAAGCCAAAAATCTGACTGACTCTCAGACTGTATCTGTAATACCTGTATAAATGGGTGCATACCTCTTTTCCCAGGGTCCCTCAAATAACTTGAGGTTCATGGACCTGTCATAAGGTGATATTCTTTATTCACTACAAATCAGGAACCTTTTAATGGAACCATGTAGGCAGCTACAAGGCCAGTCTTTCCAAGGGATTTTTGTTGGCTCCATAAAAGTCAACCTCAATCCCTCCAAGTAGTCTGATCATATCTAAAAATATTGCATTCCAGTCGGAGCCTTGGTAAAATAGCCAGTGTTTCCAGTTGTGTCCTGTTATAAAAGAGAATGAATTCTTACCGAACTTATGAAGTAACTGTATTGCCATAAAGTAAGAATACTCATAAAGAATTTCTGAATTCTAAAGGGATCAGGTAGAGAAAAAGGTAAATGTTTCAACTTTTTTCACAAGAATATACTTTGTCTATAGCTTTTTCTGTAAAGCTAAAGGTAGCTTAAGAGAAAAAATTTCTTAATTCTGGAAAACAAAACATGAAAAGAACAAGCAAGATTTCAAACGAAAAATTATAAAAAATTATTTCAGTCCTTCATCAGTTCAGCTCTGTGTAATTAATTCTTGTTCTGCTTGATGTTAGGTGAACAATTTTATGAGTCCATTTTTTTTTTTTATTAGAGTTCTGGAATTTTAACCAGTCCAATGAATGATATAATCTCAAAGTTTTCTAAAACCTGTATTTACAAAGACTTGTTGCAATCTTTTCCATGAACCTTTTTGAAGACACCATACTTTATAATTTGCAAAGAATTTTCAGGGAAAAAAAGCATCATATAATAAAGCAATTGAACAACATTACTTAAAATGACTATGGTTAAGGATGCAGTTGACAAGAAAATTTGGTTAATTCCTGTGGCCTGCAACAATTTTACATCATAGCCATAATTATGACTGATAACATATATCAAGACATCAGATTTTTAGAAATCTCATATAATTTTGGAACACATATTAATAACATTTATATAACTATAACTCAAAGAAAGTTAAACATCATTTCTTATTCGATAATGCTTCCTATATGATTTTAACATACCCAGTAAGCCTAATATGTCTCTCTTGGACTTCCAGGGGCAACTTCTGGAATGTCAAAAATTTAGTGTGAAGTCAAAATGACTTAGTTTAGAATTTCAAATTTGATTTTGGGAAGCCTGTCAAATATGTCAAAAAAAATTTTTTTTTTTTTTGAGACGGAGTTTTGCTCTTGTTACCCAGGCTGGAGTGCAATGGCGCGATCTCGGCTCACCGCAACCTCCACCTCCTGGGTTCAGGCAATTCTCCTGCCTCAGCCTCCTGAGTAGCTCGGATTACAGGCATGTGCCACCATGCCCAGCTACTTTTTTGTATTTTTAGTAGAGACGGGGTTTCACCATATTGACCAGGATGGTCTCGATCTCTTGACCTCGTGATCCACCCGCCTTGGACTCCCAAAGTGCTGGGATTACAGGCGTGAGCCACCGCGCCCGGCCCAAATATGTCAAATATTTTAAACACTTTATCAAAATAAGATTACAGGTCACTATAAAATAATAGCCATTCATTTAGCCAAAGTGATAATTAAAATATTTCAAAAAGCGAGAACCCTTACTCTTAAATAGAAAGGAAAGTCAATTTTCAAATAATCAAAAGACTGAATAGAAGCAGCATAAAGCACACAGAATCTGTTTCTCTCCCTTCTTTTTTGCAGTTCACTTAAAAAGTAAACAAAGGCCAGCTGTGGTGGCTCACACTTGTAATCTCAGAGCTTTGGGAGGCCAAGGCAGGAGGATCTCTTGAGGCCAGGAATTTGAGACTAGTCTGGGTAACATAGTGAGACCCCTTCTCTACAGGAAAAAAAAGAATAGCTGGGAGTCCTAGCTATATGGGAGGCTGAGGCAGGAGGATCACTTGAGCACAGGAGTTTAAGGTTACAGTAAGGTAAGATCATGCCACTGCACTCCAGCCTGATGACAACAGAGTAAGACTCTGTCTGTAAAAAATTAATATTTTACAAAGTGAGAAAAATTCTTTTATATTTCCTTATTAGCATTAAACAAATTTTTGCTTAAAAGAGAAAACCAAATTTTAGTTTTGTACTAGTGTACTTTCATGTTAACGCTATATTTTAAAAACCCTTATACTAAATTCATTTAATTTTAGTTTGATTACATACACCATTTCTTTTGTAAATTTATATTTTATAGCCCTTTTTATAACCTTTTTACTTATTCAATGTTATCTATTTTTAGATTTCTTTATTTTGTAACAATCTTTAAATAACCTCTAAAATTTCTTTTTTTTTTAACAAAAACCCCATTATTGTACTTTATAGCATCTTACTTTCCTTGTATACTCCGTATACAGAGTTGTTTCTTTCTTATTTTTAATAGTTTTAATTACATATATTAATTCAAATTTTAACTCTTAGCCTAATTTCTGGTAAAAAATTTAGAAAGTAAGTAATTTAATCCTATTATGTCAGTATTTGTGGGTGAAAATCATTTCATAACTTTTAGAAGGATATGTTTTTTCAATTTTTATGTTTATGGATCCACATATATTTAGTTTGTAAATACAATACAAAAACAATGTACTAATGTATATGAACATAGTTACATTTAATCATGAATGTTTTAGTATTTTAACTTAAAAATGACTGATATTTTATACTATCTATGGCTTAATTTAATATAACATGACTTTAAGATTTTAACTTACTAAAAAGATTTTTGAAATAATAGCAAGTTTTATTCTCATTTATTTTATTTGCATTTACCTAATTTACTCATTCTTAGTAATTATATTTGAATTGCTCATAGAAAATAAGGCTAGCCATTTAAATGATTATTAATGTTTATTTATTATTTATTTTATTTCATTTTTTTGAGACAGGGTCTCACTGTCACCCAGACTGGAGTGCAGTGGCATGATCATGGCTCACTGCAGCCTGATCTCCAAGGCTGAAGTGATCTTTTCACCTCAGCATCCCAAGTAGCTGGGACTACAGTTGCACACCACATTCAGCTAATTTTTTTCTTTTTACATACTCAGCTAATTTTTAAATTTTCTGTAGAGATGGAGTCTCACCATGTTGCCCAGGCTGATCTTGAACCTCTGGGCTCAGGGGATCCTCTTGCCTTGGCCCCTGAAAGTCTTGGGATTACAGGTGTAAGCCACTATGTCTGGTCTATTTTTTCAAAGGCAACATGAGGCTAATCTTTTTTTTTTTTTTTCCAGAGATTACAATAGACATTTATTTAAAGTAAAACAACTGCAGACCAAATAATTCTTAAATTGTTTGTTTCAAGTTTAACCATCTTCATAGCAGCTGCATCCACAGACTTCAACTACGATTACTTCTTTTCCCATTCTTGTCTTTCTTTTCTTTCCCGAATAACCTCTTTCAGATACGGTTCAAGGTAGTAATTTTCCTCTTCATATTTGGTCCACTGTTCTTTAGGCAGGATCTGATGCTTCATGGACAGGTCCAGTGCCCTCTTAATGCGAAACATCCTGTCATTATAAACGTTCTCAGGAAGCCTTCTTATGGCTTCCTTTACGTCTTCATCCTCGTATCTTGTATCATCTCGCAGTAATCCCAGTTTATTGAATCCTGCAGCATTGTAATACCATTTTCTCATCATCTCCAGCAACCTGCTTGATGCTGAAACGGCCGGCCTGCCAGCCATTATCATGAGGCTAATCTTGTGTCAGCAAGGAGTGTAGTCTACCAAGGCATTTGAGATACTGGGCACAGATACCCTCCCCAGTGTCCCTCCCACAGTCATCCTGGGTATCCAGGAAGGCTGTGAAGGGCAGGGCCCATATGGACCCTAGAGTGACATATCAGATGTAGAGCCCAGGACAGAGGATAGACTTGTGAAGACAATGTCTGGAGGATCCAGCTCTACCAAGCATGGCCAGGAGATGTAGTTGGGCCAGGCAAGACAGGGCCATATTGGGCTTGGCTCTGCCCTGCAGCTGGTGGCTTAGGCACTGTAGACTCACATGTCCCCAGGCCTCACCATAGCCACCTGTCCAGACACCAGAATCCAGAGGCTCAAATCCAAAGATATAAGCTCATAGTAAAAGTATGTAAGGTTTGGGGGAACCCAGCAGCCAGCCCACAGCACAGCTTTACCTCACAGACAAATCAAGCGAGTATTAAAAAATATCACAGAAGCAACAATTTTATAACCTTAAAATGTCTGTAAGAGACAGCATAAGTCTGCCTGACCAGTAGACCCAGGCAAAAATGTCTGAATTAATATTGACAATTCTGAAGGCATTCCCATTTTATTTTACCAACAAGATAAAAATTACCTTTATTTACTAAAGATTTATTACAGTCATGTAAACTTGAAATGCATTTGAGCTTATCTACTTAAGAGTGTTTATTTTAAAATCAATTTGGTATTATGTAGACAATATAGAAACAGATACAGTAATCTACATATATGTAGACACAACATACACCACACACGTGTATGTGCTATGTATCTAAAAACCAAAGAGATCCAGAAATTCAGTGCAAAAGAGAACAGACCTTTAGACCTGAGAAGAAGCTGATCATGACTTTTGAGGCTCATGAGGAAGACAGAGAACCCCAAAAGGGAGGGTCAATAGTGCCTTTTCTGTGTTCCTCTTGGGTTCTCAGCATTGCTAAAAGTTTCCTTTAGATTTTTGTGGTGGCCAGAGTACTATTGCTTCCTTTTAGTAATTTTTATCAACTGATTACCAAATGAAGGAGGGAGGGGATTAACAGGATGAAAGACTGAAGGTATCAAAAGGAAAAAGAGAAAGAGGTAAATGGAACAAGTCTTAGAGGAGTTAGTTTAGGGGTATCTTAAGTTTCCCAAAAGGTCAATGAAATTCTAGTTAGCAAGGGTTCAACAAAGAGGGGTCTTGTTGACTAAGAACTTTTTCCAAGGGGGAAATGGGATTTAAAAACAGAGAAGAATATTAGCTTTTAATGAAACTGAATTTCTACCATAGAGCTCTGTAAAAACTTAAAAAAAAAAAACACACACACACACACAAGCAGCAAACTTTCTGTTATGCAAACAGCCAGCCTTTTGTGAGAGCTGAGAGAATGGGGAGGGGGGTGTTGGCAGTGGTGGTGGGAGCAGCACCTCTCTTTTGCCAAATAAGAGGGGCTTTGGCTCCCAGTGGTGGTGGGAGATATGTCTCTCTGATCCAGTAAAGGATACAAGATAAACAGAGAAAACAGTTGCTATCACACTCTAAAAATACTAAAGTTTTAAATCAGTATTTACTTATAAGCGAGTTAGTCAAAACCAAAAGAAATAAGCATACATGAGAATAAAATCAAGAAGCCCCTTATGGCTTTAACCAAAGTCTCCAAAAGAGAAGCAAAAGCTGCAACCCTTCCAAGATCTAGACCCCTCCTAGTTACAGCTTAAAGAAAGGAAAGTTTCACCAGTCACAAATGAAGTACAGCCCATATCTCTGTCTGGTCATATTTTCTAGAGACCTAACTTCTCAGCTGGCCATCTATGCACAACGGCCCAGCAATCTGTGTGCCCCAGTAAATGGAAAATTAAAAGTGACAGTAAGACAATAGAAAATCAAGTTGTCTATGTAAGAAGAGAGAATACAAACAAATGGGTACCTCAAAGTTTGAGTCATACAAATATAAATTCAAAATGAACAATTCAAACTAATTTTGATAAATGTTTCCCCCTGAGTTAAAGGATTTACATTTCCAAGGGGCTGATTCCCTGACCAGAGAACTAAACCAAACCCAGACCGCAGTGGTAAATGCATAGAATTTTAAACACCAGACCATAGGGTGGAGTGACTTTTTTTTTTTTTTTTTTACAAATCCTCCTGGAAATCCAAAGTTGGCAGTTTGAATGTTCAAATAACTTTAACTTTTGTTTTAGGTCAAAATTTTGCTTTTTAATTTTGTCAGAGTAATTTTTAAGACGAGCCATCCCAATAGTATGTCTCTTTCTTTTAATTTGTTTCTCTCATCAATACAAATAAGGCAACTGCTCAGGGCAAGAGATCTTCAAATTTTGTTTTCACATGTAGAAGTCAAATTTAAAAAACTATTATGCGGCCATTGATGATTAGAATTTCCAATGGTATTACTTATTTTAATAGCGACTCAATCTAATAAGCCTCCTTACGGGCTTGGCTCTGCCAAGTAATCAGTTGATAAAAGTAATCAGTTGATAAAAATTACTAAAAGGAAGAGCAGGAAGCATAGAAAATGCAGCCTCCATGATCCTCAAAAATTTACTTCCAGAGATAGGCTAAGATAACAAAAGATTTTGTTGCCACAGATGATTAAGGATGGTATTTGCATGAATGATGTCTCTGTTCTTCACACAAGCCCATGGGCATGGGGACACTCGGCCATACCTTCAGTCATCAACCCACTAACTTCTGGGATTGGATTTGTCCAGCACTAACCAGGCAACAAAGATTGAGACAAAAAAGCCCCTTATGGATGAGGCTCCTTATTAAGACACATCATTCTGAGATCCTAGCATGTTAACAACAGAGTATGCTGCTTAAAATTGTATGCATCTTGGGTCTCCTAGTCCTTTCAGACTGACCACCAGACGTGATCTGAAAATCACACACCCTGGAGAGCAGAGACCAAGAGAAATGCTTCAGCTTGGTCACAAGGCAAACTTTCAAGGACGTAAATATGAGAAGAGAGGGTAATCTCACTCCGCTTTTGTCTTGGAGACACACAGAACAATTTGTCTAAATAGATGCTGGAGGTCTGCTGAGAACTGTAAAACTAACTGGTCTGTGGAAGCTGGCTTGAACAACGGGCTTATGTTTTAGGCCTGTGTTCTACCCTGTGGTACCCCTCTTTATAACAAAATGACACAGGAAGACAAAAAGAAAAAGGGAAGAGTATTTCTGGGAATAAAAGGATCTGACAACATGAATACTCATACCGAAAATATACCAGAGTCACTACGCCTAACACTAGTCACACAAATGCTTTTCTCCCATTAATCTTAAATGTAAAAAGGAAAAATAGACAAACAGTAATTTTTACCATCTGCTCAACCAGATTCCACAGAGAGAAACTGGGAGTCTGGTAACAATTTCTTATTCTTACATTGGCTTCTTACGTCCTGAAGTCCTTTGACTGTAACTTCCAGAAAAGCAGAGTAGTTTCGGTGTTGCTGCTCACAGCACCAAATATGTAAGGGTGAACTGTCAACCTCTGACAGTTTGCTGAAAATCAGCTGAGAAAAAGCAGACCAATAAGAGAAAAAAGGCATATAAACTTTATTTTCATGTGTATAGCACAGGGGAATTGCAGGAAAATGACTACCTAATAGGGTATGAATGCTTGTATACCCTTCTTCATAGCAGAAGGGGAGACGGGGGAAATCTGGGTGGTTTGAGGGATAATAAGTGATTTTCAGGGGGAAAATGAATGGGCCTCATACGCAGACAATGGTTAGTAAATAATTGTCTTTGGAAATTGGAGAGGATGGAGAGCAGACAATGATTTGGAATGAAGTTCATCTGGTGTTTAATTTTCAGTTTCTTCCCCTGTGATATGAGTTTTAATCTTCCCTGGTTAGTAAAATTTTAGGTAAAAGAGTGTGTCCCTTGTTGGTAGGTCTAGTTTCTAGGTAGATGATGGGACTTTGGAGAGCAGCTTCATCCTGTGCTTTGAGAGAGAGAAAGAAGACTGAGAGGTAGGAGAAGTGGTCAAAGAGACTTGAGGTTGCTTCTTTAGTTCAGCCACATTTGAGGGTGAAATATTCTGGTTTCCTTTAAGATCAATGAACTTGTAGGTATAGCAATGGGATTTATCCAAAATGAAGCATAGAGAGAAAAATGACCAAGAAAAATTAAATGGAGCTACAGAGATATGTGGAAAAACATAAAGTCCTCAAACGTAGTGGTCATTGAAATTCCTAAAAGAAAAAAGATAAAGACATTTGAAGAAATAATGTCTGAAATGTCTACATATTGGATGAAAAGTATAGAGCTAGAAGTCAAAGAAGCTCAACAAACCCAAAATAGAATAAACACACACACACACACACACCCTCCACACCCCATAATAAAGCATTATAATAGCTAAAAGCCAATGTTAGAAAAATTATTTAAAGCAGAGAGGGAAAATAGACATAAGTACAGAGGAACAGTGTAAGAATGACTGCAGATTCTTGTTGGAAACTGTGTAGATCGGAATACTTAAAAGAGCAATAGATAGATAAATAATAAATCCCATTAACCTATAATTATATATTCATGAAAAATAACTCTTTGAAAATGGAAGTCAAATAAAATCTTTTTCAGACAAATACAAGCTACAAGAATTCACTTCTAGCAGATCCTACACTACAATACATTTAAATCGAGTTGTTTAAATTACAGGAATATTAAAATGTATGACCACGTGGAAACTTGGATGCATATAAAAGAATGAAAAGGGCCGATATTAATAAACATATGAGTAAATACAAAGTTCTTTTGCCTCCTTTACACATTTTGTTAAAATTATAATTGATTTTTTTTTTGAGACGGAGTAGAAATGTATTTTGCCGTAAAAATTAGATGAGAAATAAGATTTTATTGACAATAATAGAACAAAAGATAGCAGGCAAAAATAGAAATATAATATCCTAAGGATTATATATTATACATGAAGTTGCATAACATTACGTCTATATGGACTG